CAGAATCTACGGGTTTTTTTAAGACTACAGCAAGGCAAAACTGTGGCCACAGGCGAGAAGGAGGAGTTCAGTAGGGAGGAATGGCCACTTCCAGCTGTTCATGCAAACTCGCTACTGCCTGGAGCTCAAAAGGCACAATGGCAATACCTGGTGAATCACATCAGGCCACACACCTGACTCTTATTGCAGTTGGGCTGATTTAGGCTGAGCAAGGTTTTGGAACAATATTGGTAGAGGATGCTGGAGAACAAATAAGAGGATCAAGGCACTGGAGCCAAAACATGAATGAACCACCCTGGATTCTCCTGTGTTCCTAAAGCTTTAACTCTGTGCCTCTGCTGGACATGGAAGCTGTTTTGCTTGTTATTTTTCCTTGCTTTGATGGAAATGAGAACATCTGGACCTGTCTGAAATCCGAGCTGCAAGTTTCTCGTGTTCTTATGAGTTCAGTCAGCAGTGTTCAAACACAAAGTGCTGTGAGCTGAGGGAAAGGACTATGTCCTTTGTTAGCTGAGAGGTTTTAATGCATGAAATGCTGTTGGGAATTCAGAAAACATGAATTTAGTATCTGATCTATCTACAATTCCTATCTCATGTGTAGAACATCACTTCAGTGGAGCTGGAGGTGCTCTCTATATATTGGATATAATTTTGGTGATGAGTATTTTCACTGAAAGGTCTTTGCTGTGACAACAGTATGGCCTTGGAAGCCATGGGTCACCAGAGTGGTCTGGGCTAAGAGAATCTGTTTCCAGAGGGTGTTGGCAGAGCCTCTGGGGTTTGGAGAGCTGCTAATACAGATTGAAAACACCTCAAGTGCCAACTCCCAGACCATGGGGCACCATCAGACTCTGTCAGACAGTGACAAAGAGAGCACATGGGAAGCTCTGCTGGAAGGGGAGAACTGAAACTTGCCCTTTCCATCTCTGCTAATGTGGAATCTTTCTTCCTCTACGATGTATCAAATATTAATTCTCCATTTCCCCTCAGTTCTAAAATCTCATTTCTATATGGCAGTGAAGAACAGCTTTCTGTTCTCTGTCATGAAAACCCAAGAAAAATAATAACCAGGCCATTTAACTTTCTTGTTCCTTCCTCCAGGCATCAGGTTCATCAGATTGTAGAGCCTAAGCCTGGGCTCTGTTTCCTACCAGAGCAGAAGGGAGTGGGCAGCTGTTTGGAATGGTTTAAGAACAATAGCACTGTTTATATTTCCAGGCTGCTGTTGTTAATTTTTCCTTTTTTTCCTGGTAGTGTAACACAACTGGCTCATATTCAGCCCACACTTGCCTGAGTCTCATCCTCAGACATTCTCCTGCCTTCTGACAGGTCACTGTGTGGTGCATTTGTGACTTTGAGCCTACATTTCTCAAGTGCAGGACTCGCATATGTGTCCACTGAACTGCATCTTGTGCTTTCCAGGCTATTTCTCTCTCTCTTCAAACTCCAGTCCTCTCCTCCTACATACTGCTGCTTCTCCTGGTTTAATGTAGTTTGCTGATTTTAATAGGTACATTCTCTCTGAAAGCTCTGAAATCCAGCAACACTCAGTGTTTTCATTAGGACATCTCTGACACATCCTTTCAAACTAACCCAGAGAAATTGATAAATACTCCCTTGTATGATGATTATTATTTTAATTCGTAGAAGGCTATGGCTAGAATTTTATATTGGAAGTATTTCTGTAGTTTAAGGAGGGGAATGATTTGTCATACTGTACCAAGCCCAGTTAAATCAGTTTGATGTGCTTTCCATTCAGGAATAAACCATTACTCACCTTGCTGTGCTAAAAAAATTATCTGTTTGAACAGTTCTGGGAGAATTGACCTTTTATTTCCTTTGGTGTTATGTAGCTATTTTCCCTTGGTGGTATGTAGCTATTTTCCAGTGTCCTGACTTCAGTGATTTTTCACAGGTATCTATGAACGTGCTTGTGAGGGTTTCTGATGCTTCCAGAAATCCTGAGAGCATTTCAAGGCTAACAATTTTCACTGCAGCATCTTTGTAGACTCTTCCCTTCCTGCTCTGACCTTGGCTGGGCACACACTGACCTGAGTGTTCCCATGGTTTCTTATTCCTGACAAATGTAAAATCCAACTGTAAGTGATTAAAGAACAATGTTGCTTTGTCAGCAGTTCCTCAACTGCCTGGTTACCCAGAGACTAAAGGTGGGTGTCCCACAGTGGTACTGGCAACACAAAAAAGCACAGGGACCATACCAAGAGTGTATGTTCTTTACTAAAAGTTCTGTGTAAAGATCAGTACTAAAAGTAGAAGCAAAAGAGGTGACTACAGAAATACAGTTTTGTGATCACATAGCAAGAAACAGCACAGCCAAGCAGTTTATTAGTCATGTCAGAAATGAAAGCCCTGTGTTAAGCCTGGTTTTTAGCACTGGCATTAGAATTTTCCAAGAGTTTAGGATAAAATCTGACAGCAGGATAGGAATTTCTTGAGAGCAGCATCAGGGGAGACACTGCCCACTTTGCTGAGATTTATCTGAGATCTTAAATATTCTTAAAGAAATTAAAACATGTCCTTATTGCATCATTACAACAAATCTCAACACTGTTGCAGTAGTAGTGTTGGAAGCTGTTAGAGCAGCTCTAGAGCTGCAAACTTCTCTTTGTAGTGTTTTAGAGCTAAAATTTCTCTTTCTAGTGCTGTCTGTTTGCAGAGGTATTTGGTTGGATTTATAAGCTTTTTTCCCCCCCACGGCTTTGTTGGACATCACCCAGTTAAAAACATTAACAAGAGCAGAGAATTCTAAGCCACTCTTGCAGGTGATCATGGTAAGGTATCACTGCCTTTAATTCACAGTTTGTTTTTTAAAGATATTTGTTTGCAACGAATGGCAAACCCGTGTTCAGTGATAACTTAGAAAATGCTACAGTACGGCAGTGTATGTTTTGGGTGGCTCCATATCCGTGTGACCAGGCAGCTGGGATGGATCTGATTATTTTGGCGAATCTGTGCCGCCAGGATGCCCAGACCTTCTGGGGTGGTTCCCACCAGCAGAGGGAGCAGACAGTGTGAGAACCGCTGCCACTGACAGTCCGCAGTGCTGGGGATGCTTCACTACTACCGAAGATGAAAGACTTTGACTAGTTTTCTATAACCTTCCTAATGCATTGCTGTCATGAAGTAAAATGTCCATCTCCCGTTTTCATCAGAGGTCTGCTTAAAATCACCTTGTTTTTAAACTACAGATGGAGAGTTAGTGGAAGGGCAGGAAATCCCTGTTAAAAAGGTTAAAAGCCAAATAGGTCCAAAGGGTCCCCCACCATGCACAGACACATTGTGTGCCACATGTGAAGAGCCCTCTGTGCTTGCCTTCAGAAGAACCTTCATGTTTGTCATGTTGCATGTAAGAGGCTCACTGTGAGGACAAAAGAAATTACATTTGCCTTCTAATTTCTGTGGATGAGATTTCCCCCTGCACCTCCCCAGCCTGAGCCTGAAGGAAGCAGGGCTGGTCCCATGGGCTTTCCGTGTTCTGGGCAGGTTTCCAAGAGCTGCAGGAAGGCACAGCTCTGAGAGCAGGTCCCTTCTGCATAAACAAACCTCTGTGCCTTCCTTCACTTCTGAGTTTCCTGCCAATAAAACTGACTGGTGCATTTCTGGGCTGGTTTTCATCCCTGGCCCCTTATAGGTCATGAAGGGGTTTGTTTCTCTTATTGCAGGATACTCTGTGTACCACAAAACTGTTTAAATAGTACTGTATATGGAGGAATTGTTCTCTCTGCTAAAAAATAAAATTATGAAATATAGCCTACATGTTGCCAATGCCTGCCAGCAGTTTTTCAATGCAAAATGGTGTATTTTGGTTCTTTTGAGTGTAGTACACTGAGAATATTGAAAATCTTACTGAACTGCAAAAGAATTCTGTTATTTTAGCAAAATACATATTTACTGTCATCTACTTTACAAAAAATGCATACTTACCTTACCTCATCACGTGCATATGACTCAGTAATGGTATTATTTATACAGCAGTAAGAACCATATAATTACTTCCCATCTAAGTATTAATTATAATTGTGTCAATCTTTGGAGTGTTGAATGATGATTAGAGTTGAAAATCATTCCATATTTACAGAAAATCTAAGTGCAATTTTAATAATTTGGATGATGGTTCCTTTTGAATACAATTATAGATTTACTATACTCAGTTTTATGTATCCTTTGGTGGAAACAGTAAATGAAGTCCTTTCTGCAAGTGTAAAAAAAACCCTTTTTTTTTAATTTCAGTGAAAATACCTCTATGATTTAGTGGAGATGTGCCTCTGATAACTCTGCTGAGTGGTGCTCACTGAAGATGTAACACCCAGGGGTTTTCCATTAGACAGAGAACTTAAAAATGACTTTAAAATGTACAGTGCAAACACAAGAGGGATTGGTTTTCTTGCAGTTACAGTTTCAAAACAACACAGCCAAGAAGTTTCCCAAGGGTGCTCCCCCAAGGAAAGCACAGGGCTGAGTTCCCCTTGCTCTCTGTGTGGGTTGTGTCTGTCCTCAGCCAGGCTCACAGCAGCTTCCAGATGAGGAGTGGGACTATCCCAGGCAGAAGTGAACAGTAGGATCCAAACTGTTTTAAGGCAGTCAGGTGGAACTGTGCTCATTGCTCACCCTCTGATCTCAGGGCTGTCCTCTAGTCCCAGTCTTGCAACTTGTTTTGCTGGACCATGAAAAGGAAGAGAGGAAAGCAGCTCTTCCTCTGGCACGTGCACCTCGGGGTGAACAACAGCATCTCTGGGGTGTGTTGTCCTTTAGGGGTGTTCCCAGCAGGGTGCTGCAGGATCCTGGGGCTTGGCATCATCTGCATGGGGAAAAGGAGCAAGAGGTGAGCAATGGACCGGCTGTCAGGGCGTGCCCACTGCCCTGCCCACCCCAGGGCCACATGCCCTGCCTGGGGAGCCCCTCTGTGTCGCTCTGTGTCCCCCCCAGCCAGGGCTGGGTGGGTGCAGGGGGGCTCAGTGTCAGAGCAGACGTGTCCCAGCCATGGCATCCATGGGGACAAGGGTGCTGGAGTGCCCTGGCCATTCCTGGTCACTGTCCCTGTGCCCTGCAGCTCCAGCTCCCTGCACCCACTGCCCTGGCAGCTGGTTGGGAACCCTGGTAGCAGCATGGAAATGTCCTGCTGCTGCTCACTGGGTTTGTCCTTCCTGGTTTCTTTTCTCAGGGCTGGGAACGGCTCCGAGGTTTGTGCTCACAGTGAGTTCTCTGTTCCTGTGCCCAGCCCAGCATCCACTATTTACATCACACTCACCACTTCCTAGAGGTCACTGTAGCAAAACTGCAACTCCTTAGTGAAAGAAGAGCCCAGGTCATGCCTGAAAATGCATCCTGGGTGGGAACTGGAATAAAGCATCCTCTGGGATTCCTGTGCCCTTCCCTTGGCTACGGCAAGTCCCCATGAAGGACACAAAGCTCCCAGGCCTGCACTTCTGTAGGTAAAGCCAACTGGTGTTTGAGCATCCACTGCCACTTCTCCATCACTTGCTGATGGTTTCTTTGAGGAAGACTTACAGCAGGCTTTGCAATGGTCTGAAAGGAGACTGGCACCAAAGGAAAAATGTGGCTATCCAAACATTACTCTCCCTTTTTCTTTTGCTTCTATATGGTACCGTTCATCGTCTGTTTTAGGCAGTGCCTTGTCTCTGTACACTGAAATACACACTTAGACAACAGAATTATTTAAAAATGCTTTGTTGCCAAGAAATGGAATGAAATGTACTCATGATACCTTTAATGACAATAAAATGCTCTTCTTTTTCCTTCTGCTCTAAAACATGCAAAGTATCCTAAAATCAACAAGTAGGCTTGACTGGGTAAAGTGTCTGCATTAGGGGTGTCTGATTTCAGTGTTTTGAAATGCTTCAGGGAGGTCAGGTGTACTGCTTGTCACTGCTGCTCTTTTATGCTGTGTGAGGTCACGGAACACTTTGAAGCACAAAGAGGAAAGTTTAGGTAAACTTTAAAAAGTCACTGTAAAAACCAGAATCCCATTGCATCCCTGTTTAAAGATATAAAATAGGTAAAACTTCCAGAGGTTTTATTCTTCCATTTAAGTGTTTTGTCGGTCTGAGATCTTCAGAAGAATTGAAGGAAAGAGCCACTTCTGTTCACATGATTTGGGGCCTGATAGTCAGTTGGAACATGTGGGATGGGGATATTCTGTTCACACCCCACTGTCTTGAACAGGGGCGCAGCCTCCAGGGTGAGAGATGACAGAGATGGATGGAATGGGCTGCTGTAAGTCCTGCAGCCTGACTGCAGAATTTGCAGCCTGTCCTGTAGTCCCAGATGCTGCCTCCTCTTCCTGGCTAATATAGATATTTATAGATATTTCATTTCTTTGACAAGGGTCCATGAGAGAATACGGGGGAGGATCATCTGTGGGAATATATATTTGTGTTGCTCCTGGCCCCACACATTCATCATAGCTGAAAGGAAAAAGGAATTTTTCATTAGACTCCTGTGAAAAAAAAGCCACAGTACATTATTTGCAGAGTAACAAGGGCAGGTAAGTAAGTAATGGCCCATCTTCGCGAACGAAGATTTGGGGAAAGGTCTTTTACCTTTCCAGCCTGCGCAATGGATTTTTTTTTTTTAGGTGAGACACAGCCTGTGCTGAACTGAGCCCACCCTTTAATCCTAAGGTTCATCTGCCGGGGCCAAGCAAGCTTGGACAATGGCAGTGAGGTCCTCAGGACGTAGGTTTGTTTAGAGTGACCTTCTCATAGATGGATGGCCACACAGGGCTAACGACCTCCATCAGGCCAGGAGACCGGGGTAAAGTGAGAAGAAAAGGATCATACGGTGTTTTGTCCCTCAGCCCACATCTTTGCTTGCCCTGCCGTGTGAGACAATGGAGAGCATAATCCCTAAAAGCACATCTCCAAATCCACGTGGATAATCCCAGAGGTGCACAGGCACCATCAATACAACGCAGCCACAGCTCATTCCTGCTCCCAGCTGCCTGGAAGAGCCAAGTTGGAAAATGGCTGGGGGGGAAGAGGAAGTGGTGTTGTTGTTTGAACCTTTGCTGGAGCCTGAAGTGCAGTGTCACTGAGGGCTGTCTGCAGTGCAGTGTCACCGAGGTCTGTCTGAGGTGCAGTGTCACTGAGGTGTCACTGAGGTCTGTCCTCCACACCCCCAGTCCCTGGTGCTGTGACAGGGCTGGGCTGCAGACAGTGCTGGCAGGGCAGCAGGATTTCGTGCTGAGGGGCAGAGTTGTGATGAATAATCCTGACTCATGTAGATCATTCTGAGGCTCGGCAGATGGGGCAGATGGTCCATCACATCCCTCCCAACGAGGGGGGATGCACACAGACCGATCTGTGGGGTTTCCATGAGGAGCCAGCTCAGGTGTACCCAGGTTTTTAGTCCTGTCTGTGCCACCAAGCTGGTCCCAGGGGAAATATTCACTCCCTCCTCCCTCTGCTCTGTGCTCTCTGTCCTGGTGGGAATGCAGACAGGCTCCTTGGGTGGGAGCTTGGCCTGCACAGCTGGACTTTGATGATCCTCATGGGTCCCTCAGCTCAGAGTGTTCAGTGATTCTGTAGGTAGCAAGCCTGGGTAGAGCAGTGTGTCTTTGTGTTTTCCCATGTTGTGTGTTGCAGGAAGCAGATGGGAACAGGGAATGCACACGAGCAGGCTCCATGTGCTGGTGCTGGGCACTGCCCTGCCTCAAGCCCAGGGCTGTGCACGGAGTGCCCTGCAGCCCAGAGGGGCTGGGGACAACTCCTCCCCCTGGGCTGTGCCTGCTGCTCCAGGGTCTGTCCTGGGTTCTGCTCCCTCGGGGCTGTCCCTGCTGCTCTTGTGTCTGTCCTGGGGTCTGCTCCAGGGTCTGTCCTGGGTTTTGCTCCAGGTTCTGTCCTGGGTTCTGCTCCAGGTTCTGTCCTGGGTTCTGCTCCAGGGTCCGTCCTGGGTTCTGCTCCCTCGGGGCTGCCCCTGCTGCCCCTGTGTCTGTCCTGGCAGCACCTCTTTGCCCACACACCGACCCTGCCTCCACTCCTGCCATCCTTTAGCTCCAGTGGGCTGAAGAAGCTCCTGTTTTCCCAGCTCACTGGCTACAGGCAGGAGTGAGACAGAGCCATAACACCATGACCTTAAATGTTAGACCTGCTTTGTTGGCTGCCTTGTTTAAGCATTTCAGGAGCATTTTAAAACCAATTCTGAACAAGGGAATGTTTCCTGTAAAAAAACCACCTGAAAAACATTTGTCTGGAGGCAGACAAATTGAGAACTGCAGATGTAGTTTATTATGTAGTATTATGATGTAGGATATTTCTTGAAGCTTGGGATATTTAGCATATGTCTTCTCAGCAGACTACAGGCACACATTCTGCCCCTGACTTGTGTCCTGCCAGGCTAAACCAAGCTAATAAACCCTCCTGGCAGGCTGTGGGTGCTGTGCCTCCTGCAGACCAACTTGGAGGCCCTGCCTTGGTTCAATCTCAGCTTTCCCTCAGAGTGCCCCTCATGATTTCCATACAAATAATAGGTTTTGGTGCTGTTGTCCCTAGTCCAGGAGATGGAAATGGTTTTTTGGCAAGGGAAAGGTAAGAAAGTGAAGTCATAGTACTGGGTTACGAAACTCAAATATCCATAAGTGTTTTTATGTTTACATCCCTTTTTTCTAACTTTTATATTAATGAGGACAATGGCTTTAAATTCAGACTAGAAAATTTTGATTTCCCCATCAGAAAATGATATTTGAAAACATAAGTCTGTTCTGAAGATCCTGAGTAGGGCTCCCAGCTACTTCAGAAAAAAGTCCCAGCACATAGGAATTAGAATTATTTTATTTTATAGCATATGAAAAAGATTTCACCCCAACCTCTTCTAAATACACTGAAACTTTCAAACATACCTGGTAGTCTTTTAAAAGCTGTTGGACCTAAATCAGAGATCAAGGACTTGGTGTTCTCAACTCTCCTTGACCTCAGTGAGAGTAAAGGAAAGGTCACTCTTTGCAGGATTACTTGCATCTTTACTTCATTTACTTTTAGCTGCATCTTTACTTCATTTACATTTTGTTGACCCAAAGCCCAGTGAATTTATTTAAAATCTTTCCACAGATTTTGACTGACTTAATCAGGCTAATGAAGAGCACTCACTGTTACCACAGCAGAAGAGTTTCCATTCAGAAAAGCCCACAGGAGTTTCAAGGTGGAAAATTTTCAATCCTTTTGCCAAGACACAAAAGAAGAGAAGCTTCTCTGCCTCCTGATTCTGGGCCCGGGCCCAGCACGTGGGAAATCTGCCACTGAGCTGAAGGAGAATTGGGCACAGTGGGAACTGTTTCTTCCTGGTGTTACCTGATCATCTCCATTTCTCTCCCTTGGATTTAATTTACTGTCTTCCCTGAGCCACAGCTCAGCTTTGCAGAACTGAACTGCTCGGTGGGGTAAACAGCAAACTGAGCTCTTGTTAAGGTGACTTTTCAGAGTCAAGACAAATGGGTACAAATGATGGTATTCAAGGCCTGGCATTTTAGTGTTTAGTTCCAAATATTGATATATTAGTGTCAGGGCAATTTTTTCTTCACACATATGGATGGCTAAAAATAATGATCTCTTTTTCTCCAAAAGCAGGTAATGTTCCTCCCATCATTTTTGGCACTTAAGATCACATTTAAAAAATTTAATAGGGTAATAAAGGGCACATGCCAGACTTTCAATTTAAATAGCTCTTTGGCACCTTCACAGCTGCACCTACAGATTGTTGCGGCCAAGAAGAGAAGTACAAATAATTCAGATAGTTGTTTGGGGTTTTTTTCAATAACTTTTTGTATTAGCAGTTTATGATCTCGATATCAGTTTCCCATGTGCTTTTCTATGCACAGTATCTCTGCTTGGAGAGCTGCCACTGCAATCAGCTATTGCTGTTACCAACAGTGAAGGCTACAGATAAGGTTCCTGGTATTCTCTGTTAAGGACAAAATGGAGGTGAATTAAGGTCATACAAACACTTCACCTCTGTCTTTTTCCTTAGTTTCCAAGTGTTTCGTGGTTGGGTTGGTTTTGTTTGTTTGTTTGTCTGTTTTCTTTATTTTTGTTGGGGTTTTTTGTTGTTTGTTTGGGGGTTTTGGATTTTTTGTTTGTTTATTTTCCCCCTTCTCTTTAACAGTATCAGCAATTTAGTTGTGCTTTCAGAGTGCTGTTGTAGAGGTATTCCTGTAATGAAACTAATGTATTATAAACACTACAAGCATGAATTTTATTTTGCAGTTTCTCCTTCAAAAAGACCTTAATGTCTAAAGCTACAGGGCTTTATGATATCTTTTTTTTTAATTAGAGGAATTAAGCAAGTATTATAAGAAGTAACACACAGTTGGACAGGCATCCACTGCCCATGTGTGTTTGTGGTTGGGAAATCATTCCTCCAAAGAATTAAAGGATTACTTATAAAAAATTGCAGTAGCAATAATGTCTTGCAGTTGATCAGCATGTATTGATGTGAGTGATAATGGACTAAATCCTTCCTGTCACCTTAAAGTGAAGCTTCACCTTTGAGGAGAAGAGGTGAACAGACTCTTGCATTCCATTGCAGGGAGGTGTGTCCCAAACCTGTCCTGCAGTGTGACCTCTGCACCTCTGACACAGCTTTTAGGGCTCTTGCTTTTCACTTGTGAACTTGTCAACTAGACCAGAATGAAGGAGCTGCTTTTCATCAGCTGGTGAGGAGACCTCGGTACCAGAGGGGCCAAGAGGTGCCTGCAGTGATGGACAGCACTGGAAGGATCCAGAACAATCAGGGGTGTCACCCCTGATATTAGAATGATGGTGTTCCATATGAGTCCCTTCAGTGTGATAATAATGCTGCTGTTTCAACTGGGAAAGGGGCAGCTGGAAAGCTCAGGATGTTTAAAGCTGTGGTGTCAACATGAGCCAATTCTGTGTCACCTCTGTTCAGCTGGAGGAGACTGAGGGGAGACCTCCCTGCAGTTCCAATGCCTGGGCAGGGGCAGAGGAGGGGCAGGGACTGAGCTCTGCTCTGGGGGCACCAGGGACAGCAGCCAGGGAATGGCTGGAGCTGTGTCAGGGCAGGCTCAGGTTGGATCTCAGGCAAAGGTTCTTCCCCCAGAGGCTGGTTGGGCACTGCCCAGGCTCCCCAGGGCAGTGGGCACAGCCCCAAGGCTGCCAGAGCTCCAGGAGGGTTTGGATGATCCTCTGGGGCACAGGGGGTGACTCTTGGGGATGTTCCTGTGCAGGGCCAGGGGTTGGACTGGATGATCCTTGTGTGTCCCTTCCAGCCCAGCACATTCTGTGACTCTGTGAAAGGAAGCATCCCCTGCCCTGCTGCTCATTCCCACTTGCTCCTTGCACTGCTTCCTCCAAACCAGGATCCCCAGCCTGGAGCTAAATAGGCAAAAAGTTTGTGTGTGTGTGTTTTTTGGAGGTTCTTGTTCGGCTTTTGTTTTATTTGGGTGTGTTGT